ATGTGCGCCTCATGACCTCCGGCGTAATTCGCTTCACCTTTGAAGAGCGGCTCCGCTGTGGCATACTGATGAATGATTTTCAAGACAAAGGGCGGAAATAACACATCTATACAGGACAGGAGCTGAGAGAGTGGGATGAGACTTGAGAAAGAAGAGAGGTGAACGGTTAAAGGTGTGAATAAAGAGGAGAAAGACAGAAAGAAAGACTTTTGATGACATATAGAGCCAAGATGGCAGAGACAATCTTCAGTTTCCAGTGGCTATCCGAGTTAAACGGGTTACTTTAAACTAGCAATACCGCAGATTAACTGGTCATTTCAAGATTACTGGCCAATAACTGTGCGTGATTAGCTGATTAACAGAAGTGTGTCAATCCACCTACACTGTAAAAAAAAATCCGTAAAATTTACGGAAAAAACCGGCAGCTGTGTAAAAAATACGGTAGCAACGTTTTAGGTTTTACGGTTTTAACTTAAATTTACAGTTAAATACCGTAATTTCATTAACTGATATAATGTTAATATACCAACCTATTGAAGTACTGAAATCTGTTTTGTACCTTTGTAATACACTGATAACCACCAAATGCAGGTGGTGATGAGAAAGTCACATGATGAACCAAAGCCCATCACAAGCAGCTTTTAAATAATAACATATATAGAAGGTGCACAGTGTCATTCACACAAACACCAAACACCATCATGGTAACACACATGAAACTGAAATAATGCAATAAACATTCATTTAACAACATTAGGTGTAACACACAACCCTAATATACAAAACTGATAAGAAAAAACTAAGAAGAAACATAGGTATTTCAACAAAAAACATCAAATTTGAAATGTAACGCAGGGAATTCTGGGAATGTCAATTTACGGTTATTCACTGTAAATTATACGGTATTTTTCACTTCCAAAAACGGTATACTACCGTAAAATTTATGTCCAATACATGTAATGTCCAATACAGTTTTTCACCGTATATAGTAGGGGAATTTACCGTTAACCATTTAACAGGTTTTTACTGTAGCATTTTTACAGTCTTTTACCGTTAAATCCACGGTCATTTTTTACAGTGTAGTAAAATCCAACGACAGCCTCGTCACTGCATAATGCACGTTTTATGCTTCCAAATAGTAAATTATTGTGCAAAATGCAGAAAAGTGAGAGTAAAGACATTTATAATGCTACAAAAGTTTTTATTACGAATAATTGCTGTTCTTTCTATTCATCAAAGAATCCTGACAAATCAAATGTATCACCGTTTTCATAAAAATATTCAGCAGCACAACTGTTTTCAACATTGATAATAATCAGAAATGTTTCTTGAGCAGCAAATCAGCATATTAGAATGATTTCTGAAGGATCATGTGACACTGAAGACTGGAGTAATGATGCTGAAAATTCAGCTGCGCATCACAGGAATAAATTACATCTTAAAATATATTCAAAAGGAAAACAGTTATTTTAAATTGTAATAATATTTCGCAATATTACAGATTTTACTGTATTTCTGAATAAATAAATGCAGCCTTGGTGAACATAAAGGACTTCTTTCAAAATCATTTAAAAAAATCTCACCAGCACCAGACTTTTGAATGGTAGCATTTGTTTACTTAAAGGTGCAATAGGTGATTGTCTTCAGAAACATTTTTTGTTATGCTTGTTGAAAGTCTCTTCACATCCCGATAGTAATCATTAAGTTGAGTGGTCTCAATTTATTTATCTGTATTTATATATTCTGTGGAAGGCGTAGGACCAAGAAATGTTCGCCCAATCAAAACGCTCGGTCCGAGTGTTTTAATTGGCTTTCCTACCTGCCTGTCAACGTATGTATTAGCATACCTCTTCGCACCCGGTTCGCGCAGACAAGATACGCCATCAGCGCGTTCACGCACGTTGTGCAGACAGAGCGAGAATGGCAGACAAACATCAATAACCCGATCTTCCTTCTTGGTATTGTAGTACTTTTAAAGTTTTCTCACCGGTGAATGAAACATGATGTAGCCCAGCGGTTCCCAATCAGTCCTCGCGCCTCGTGCCCGCTCTGCATATTTTGCATGTCTCACTAAGTTAACACACCCGATTCAGATAACCAGCTCGTTAGAAGTGCGCTACGTGCATGAACTGTGTTCCGATCGATATGATCCCTACACAGTGTTCATACTCCCTGAGCAGGGGAAATCCGTTGAAGTTTACTTCACTTCGGAACATGGGCTGGAATTGGGAACCGCTGATGTAGCCTATTGTAGTAATGTTGTCTCTGGTATTCTGGTCTGTGAGCGTAAATGCGTTCAGGGGGCGTGGCTTTGGACGGCGATTGCAGGGAGGGTGGGACGTTCGCTTTCAGTGCTATCAGGCTAAAGTTAGCATTTTCCAAGATCTCCTACTGCACCTTTAAATTCACCAATTTTGTGCTATTCTGAAGACATTTCATGCTGTGAAAGATTATGTTATATTTGAACATTTTACATATTTAACCAGATTTAAGTTTTAAACACTGTTTATAAATCCTTCCTCCTCTGCTCTGAATAAAACATACTCTACTAAAATGTGTCCTAAAATGTTATATAAAACATCCCGAAAATGTCAAAATGCTACATGTCAATGCAAACCTGCTAAAGGAAGCAAAAGACTCTTATTTATAAAAAAGAAGCACATTTGTGCAATAAAACCCGAAAACAAACTCTAATCTGAAAGGGTTAACAGTCCTTCATAATGAAGAGGTCATTAACTCATCTTTACCACTTCTATTCAGGTTCAGGGTTATTTTAACATAACACGAGCCAAAAGATATAATTTTGATGAATACAAGCTGCCTGAAGTTCTCTTATTCAGCTTGACAAAAAAAAAAATACATCTAAATATTGTCTTATAAATACCCAGCTAACAGTAAAACGTTCTGAGAACTTTGGCTAATGTTCTGGTAAGGTTCTCTCAAGGTTACGAACGAACGTTCTTCCAGTAACATTAATAGAATGTTCGCTCAAAGCTGTCTGGTTCTTAATAACCTTCTCAAAATATTACCACAAAAATGTTATTTATACATTGTTCGTGAAAAGGTTTTTTTTTTCCTGAAACTTTGTAAAACTTTATTACTTGGAGAACATTTACAAGTAACGTTCACATAATGTTTGCAAAATGATAAAATGGAATGTTCCCTCTTTTCTTTAACTTTCACATAACCAATAAAAAAAAAAATGTTTAAAACAATGGTTGTTTCAAACATTCAAGAAACATCAAGAAATAACGTTATCATAACTGGGAATTTGAGCAAAACATTCTTATAACATATTTTACCCCCTGAGACCCACCAGAAAGCATTTTGGACTAGTTTTTAAATTTGTATTTATTTTTATGGCATCATCACTATAGTACTAAATGCATAGTAAATATTCCTTTGTTATGCTGTATTTTGCTAATTTCATCATCACGTTACATTATTTGACTGTTAATGTCTAGTACTATATAGCATTTGGAACATAAATGTTCAAAAATGTAATAAATAGTGACATTCATAAGCAATAATCACATCTAATATTTAATCAAAATCACTATTATATTATTAGCACAAACTACTGTCTTTCACATACTAACTTTAACAAACACAGAGAAAGGTTCATGTTCTCTTATATACGACAGTACTTTAAAAATAGGCAGTGTTGGGGAAAGTTACTTTTAAAAGTAATGCATTACAATATTGCGTTACGCCATTAAAAAAGTAACGAATTACGTTACTTAGTTACTTTTTACGGTAAGTAATTCGTTACGTTACTTTTTAAATCTGGACAGGGCTTGCTTGCTTGTTTTTAAAATAAAAAAGTTATATTTTTGGCAAATATAAAAGCCTTTTCACACCAAAAGTGAAATGAATAAGCCTCAGGCTGAAGGGAAAGTAAATTTACGTCCGTACAGTAGAATGCAGAAGAAGACATTTCAACACACTTCAGCAATAAAAAAAGACTCACGAATGTTTGTCTAGAGTAAATTTTGCTTATTAGTACGGTTGAACTGGATCATCGAAGGCCAGAAGCAAAGACATTGGTTAATAGAATGGGACTAAATACATAAAGCATATTTGTGTTGTTTAACATTTAATTATTGCAGGTTTGCGCCATATTCTGAGTTGCATTATTTTTATTCATTTTGAGGAATACTGAATCTGTGCGTTTTGTTTTTTTGTGTGAGTGAGATGAATTAATGCATATTCATATTTATTTTAGAACTACAGTAACATCTTCTGATTTCTCTCAACATGAGACAGGAGAGCTGTCAATCAATAAATTGAAAAAAAAAAAAGTAGCTTGCATTACTTATTTGAAAAAGTAACAGATATTCTCTTGTAAATTAAAAAGTAATGCGTTACTTTACTAGTTACTTGAAAAAAAGTAATCTGATTACGTAACTTGCGTTACTTGTAATATATTACCCCCAACACTGAAAATAGGTATGGATTTTCTCATGAATAACATAAAACTGAATCACACACCGAGCTGTTGGCTGCATGTTAAAGTGTGGAGGCTGGTTCCAGGCAGAGCTCGTGCTGTCAAACTCTGGCCATCAGCTCGTCGACTCCCCCAAACCCCTTTCTGAGCAACACGTCTCTGAATTCACACATGATGCCAAATTCCAATGTAATTCATACATGAAACAACAGATAGCCTTGGGTACATTTTTATAGCGCCTCGTTTGAAATGAAAACACCTCCTCCTCGTCCACACCCTGCTTGATCAAATGTTTTTCATTCAGTGCTCGCAGCACATCTAAAACTGTCACGCCCGCAATAAAACATAACACATGTGTTATCTTACAGTTTCAAACAGAGAAACCAAGTATCGATACAGCTATAGTATTTAATGCAACTTCTTTCCAGTGTAACTTTGTATCAACTTTGACATGCAGCAGTTACTGGAGCCACACAGGATTTGATACAAAGTAATTCATCACTTCCAGATACAAACGCGAAGAAACTTTGACTAAATTTTCAGAAGCCCTTACCTGTTATAAACGCGTGATAAAACTCAAAACCCTGGAGTTTTTTTCCCACCTCCCTAGTTTTCTTTCTTCCCAGCAGGCCAATCCAGGGAATCCGGAAACCGCTACAATTCCGCCCTTATCCCATAATGCCTGCGAGACCCCGGCGCAACGGAAGCCATTACGGCTCACGTACCAATGCGGAGGACGGGCGACAGAGTGGAGAATTAGAGCCGAGATGGCGGAGACAGGTCACAGTTTCTTGGAGCTGTCGGTTTACAGTGCTTTCAGCGAACATGTCTAAACACGCTTCGGGATTTGTGACAAATTTTTATTTTTTTTTTAAATCAAAATTTCTTAACTTTTTGTTTACATTTTTTTTATTATATTTACATTTCTGTATTTGTTTAGGTGCTGACTTAATGTATACATCTAAATGTTATTTTATTTTTATAATATTTTACAGATGCTTTTTTTTTTTTTTTTTTTTACGAAATGACAGTAAAACTGTTTTATTCATTGATAGACGCCCTCAAACTCAAACGCACAGCTTTTCTGCATCCCCATTGGCGAGCAACAGATGCTCCGTCCTGCGATTGGATAAAAGTTTAACTTCAGTCTTGAACACACACACACACACACCCCCTCCTCTTGGCGTAACGCTATTATTCCACTCCACTTATTCCCAGTCCAGGAAAAGTCCGTTAGTCAAAGCACAGAAGAGACGCAGCGAAGAGATGCTGTTCTACCTGATCAAAGCGCTTCAGCTTTTTTGATCGATCTGAGAGAGAGAGAAAAAAAGACTTTTGGATAGAAACATTTAGAGACACAAAGTTTGGAGAGAAGATATTGGAAAGAAAAAACGTTGTGTATATATATATATATATAAAATTAGAGACGAAAACTTTGTTTAGAAGAAAGGAAAACCAAAGGCTGAAGACTCTGGAGAGGAACGCAGCCTTTCCAAACATCCCCAAAGTACCGGAACAGGTGCACAGATCTATCTAAGGAAGAAAAGAGATGGCCTCCGCGGCTCTGGAGATCCTGGGTCTGATCCTGTGCGTCTTCGGCACGCTCTTGGAGATGGTCGCCTGTGGGCTGCCCACCTGGAAGGTGACCGCCTTCATCGAGGCCAACATCGTGGTGGCGCAGACCATCTGGGACGGCCTGTGGATGTCGTGCGCCGTGCAGAGCACCGGCCAGATGCAGTGCAAGATTCACGACTCCATGCTCGCGCTCAGCCACGACCTCCAGGCTGCGCGTGCGCTCACGGTCATCTCGTCCGTCATGTGCGTCATCGGGCTGATGGTGGTGATCGCCGGCGCGCAGTGCACCAACTGCATGAAGACGGAGAGCGTGAAGGCGCGCGTGGTGAACGTCGGAGGGGTCATCTACATCATCAGTGCCATATTCGTGCTCGTGCCCCTGTGCTGGATGGCCAACAACATCATCTCCGACTTCTACAACCCGCAGGTGCCCACGGCCAAGAAACGGGAGATCGGCGCGGCGCTCTACATCGGCTGGGCGGCCACCGCGCTGCTGCTGCTCGGGGGAAGCATGCTCTGCTGCTCGTGTCCCTCCTCTGGAAGCTCCGGCTACTCGGTCAAATACGCGCCCACCACAAGAGCAACATCTAACGGGAACCAAGACAAGAGGAATTACGTTTAGACGCTGTTTGGACAGATTTCACTTGCGCATGCTGTTTTGTGTGTTGCACCTGCAGATGTTTCTGTTCTCAGTTGGCTGATTTTCCTTTTTAAGCATCCTGGACAACTGATTGGATCTTTTTTTAAATTTGTTATTTAACACGAAACTTTTGAGGATATGCGTTTCTGAAAGGTGGAAGTTTTATAATAACTTTCAACAATATTAACAAACATTATGCAATGCTTAACAGATCGTTTCAACACTTTGAAACAGTGAGAAATGTCCTGAAACATTCAGTTATACTATATTCATATTTTAATGTGCATTAACCACTGATCTATTAAACATTAAATCATTTTTATATAGCCTATAATGCCTGATTGTTTTTTTTAATTTTATTTTGTAAAGCACTTGGACTGATTGGCTGAAATGTATTTAATAAGTCCTTTAATAATAACTTTAAGTCGCTGATACACTGTAACAATGATTTTTCTACGTAAATAAAACATTGAGTATTAAAAAGAAAATACTATTTCAGTCGGTCTACTTTAAATTTCACTTTTAAATCAATGTTAATTGCTTTATAATTAATTGTAATATTAACTATCAATTTCTGAGTGAAAATTGTTTCTACTCTACACATTTTTCTGATCAAGTACTTCATTTTCATATAACTTCATGTGTAAATGTGCACAAACTACTGATCTGTTAAGCATCTTTGATGTTTGTTTTCATAATGAAAGTTACTATAAAGGGTTTCCACTTCGCTAAAAATGCTGTTCCAAAACTATCAAGGACATTCATGGGTGAAAGAGAAGCTCTAATCTGACAACATATCTCTTTTAGGTACCTGGAGAAGTTTGTAAGCTTGTAAAAGTTGGTCAAAGACGAAAAGCATTAAGTTAGTAGCTGTTGTGATGTTTTTGTGTGTACATCTAGAGGAATCTGCTTCGGCACATTTGCAGAGACTCTTAAACACTTGAGGAGAAACAGCTGGAAAACTGAAGCCATTCCTGACTGATCGGTTACTCATAACTCACCCGTCCACACTGATGCTCATCAGAGCTGAACAAGGCACATGAGAAATACAGTCCAGCAGGATCTCGGTCCACTATGGAAAATGTCTATTTTTGGGAATATTCTGCCGGTCAGTGCTTTACGGAGTCAGTGCTTGAACTCAAGACCTCTACGTCCAGTTTATTCAGCTCATCTGAAATGTTGATTTTTTTTTTTTACTTTTTTAAGTGTCTTTGAATTCTTGAATGAATGTTGTTTGGAATAAACATTTACAGTTTTGACACAAATATGAATGCTTGTGTTTTCAATACCTCTGTACGTTTAAGAATAAATTATGGTTATAGTCTTTCACATAAACTTTCAGGACTGGTAGTTAGCTTTTTTAACTAGTTTTGATGCTAAACAAAGTCATGATGGCTTATATTTAGTATTGAAGTTACCACAAAGGTTCGGACCAATTCATTGAAATGAGCTGTGAGTATCTGATGCTGGGTGGTTATTAAATGAAAAGCGAGTAGAGTCAGATATGAAGTGCAAATGTTGTTGCCTGGGTTTCCAAAACCTTGTTTCTAAGGCTTAGCTGGTCATATGGCCACTCGCCACAGCAAAAACATGTCAGTAATTTTTTTTACTGGTCAGCTCCAGTAGAAGTGAACAGGTCTCACACTGACTGTAAAACGAAAAATAACAAGCAAGTTTTACTTTTTATATTCAAAATACAAGATACAACTCTGGATTCAACAATAAGCTTTTTTTCTCTTGGCACAGTCAGGCCATTTGACTTTTGTTTGCACTGCGCCAAAAATTAGATGCATATTTTATATCCATTAGAAAATTGTATCTATAAGGTTTCCTAACACAAAATAAATAGTAAAAAAAAAAAAAAAAAGTATAAATAATTGATCAGAATTTTAGCTTGCAATAATGTCAAAAAAAAAACAATCTGATAAATGCATATAAAAACCCATGTTTTCTTTACACAAAAGAAATAATAAACAATTACTATAAATAATAGATCAGGTCTTTACTTTGCAATAATTGCTAAAAAATAAAACAATTGATATAATAAAAAAATGGACATAAAAATCATAACTTTTCTTTACACAAAATAAAGAAAAAGTCAACGCAAATAATTGATCAGGTTTTTGGTTTGCAATAATTGCTAAATTCTGAAAAAGATTGATAAAACAAATCCGTTTTAGTCCGATTTTGTTTTCAATAATTGCTAAATTTGCTAAATTGCACGATACAACTATAGTATAAAGTAACTTCTTACACTTTTACTGAAAAACAATAGCATACAGTGCAAAATATGACTGATTGGTTTGCACATTTTCTTTCACATTTACACAAAACTTCATCTATTTCAGCCAAATATATAACTTTACATTAGTGTTGATTCGCAAGTCACAACAGTGATGTTCAACAAATCACACAAAGCAGATGTTCAAGTTTACATAAAAACACAGGATCAATGGATGTAATCTAACCATCAGTACAAATTATAAATGCATTTATTAATAAAGTATATGCACATTAAAAACTATATAATTTTATTTCTACTAATTTGACTATAAAATGTAATTTTATTTTTTTCATATGGATAAAACAAAACTAGTTAATTTAGTTGTTGCCAACTTAAGTAATTTTTTAGGTTATTTGACTGAACATTTTATAGCAAAAACTCTCGTGGTCCTGCGTTTCTGTAGTTTATGGGTTTGTTAACAGCACTGCTTCCCTCGACCCTCCTCTCTCAGTCTCGAACACAATAGAGCCTGTATGAATATCCACACCAATTCTTTCAGCCACCATTGTGGGATTGTTAGTTCCAGTCACCCTTTGGAAGTTAAGGAGGTTACGAGGCTGAGTAACAACTGTGTGTGTGTGTGTGTGTTTTGGGTGGGTACTCGGGGGAGGTGCCCAGACTTTTAAAAAAGACCTTCCATCCATAATGAAGAGAGGCACATGGGGGCAGCGACGACGTCATTAAAGAATCTTCGTCATGGCAACCACAAAAGAACCTGCAGTTGCCTGGTGACAGGACCCCATAATGTGGCCATATGGATGAGGACAATGGAAGACCCGTCGGCAGACATTCCAAGACACGGATGGGGGAGAAAGAGAGAGAGAGAGAGAGACAGAAATGAGTAACAAGAATGTGAAGAAAGAACAATCTCTCACCCTACACATACTGACATAAACAAACAATCCTCACATGTAGAAATCATGTTATTATTAACAAATACACAGTGATTATAGATCATTATTTCACACCACAGTGTTATTTTAGTACGACTGAAATACTATTAGTTTTCTTTTTAATTTTAGTTAAAGTTTTAGTAATTTTGTTGTGTGTTTTTGTCATTTTAGTAGTTTTTTTATACGTCGATACAGTTTTTATTTGTATTTCAGATTTTTATTTATTTATCTATTTTTTTTGTCATTTTAGTACAGCAGATTTAACTAAAAAAGGTAGTAAAAACACACACACACACACATTATATATATATATATATATATATATATAATTTTATTCCAGTCA